GAAGGATCCAGTGTGTAGGACGCACCTGCTGGTTCCGTTCCATCCATAGCTGTGTCATCTTCAGCAGGAGCGGATCTTGGTTTCTTCTTTGGGCGTGAACACCAACTTTGGGAGATACTGCTTCTCCGGATCAGGTATAATCCTCCCTTTTACCTTTTGGTTTAGATCTGGTTCGATTATGGTTCAAATTTAGGGAATACGATTCCTAGTTGGAGGAAGGTAGGAAATTTTTGAAATTCGCCCACCCATTCGGCAACCTTTTTGGCGTCCATTAGATGGATCCCACCATTCCTTCATTTACTCCCTAGCCATCACCTCCCAATTGCTCCATATATCATCAAAGAAAAACTGTGAAAAAGAGTAGAAGGTTCTGATCCAGTGCATCACCCTGACCATTAAACAATCTCTTACTAAAAAGCCCCAAATAAAAATATTAACTAGAAAGAATCCGATGAGAATGGGTATAGAAGTGGAGGATCCAGGTTGTGTATTGTGTAGTAGCAATATGGAATTAGCAGCCCATCTATTGCTTCACTGTGACTTTTTTTACAGGATATGGAGAAGAATGTTAAATCTGTTTGGGGTGGAGATGTGCATCCCAGGTGACATTAAAAGTTTCATGCATCATTCCAGCAGTAGCTTTCTGGGCTGTTTGGGGGGAAAGAAATGCTACGCTCGTGGTTGGAAAATACTAGATTCAAAGGAAAACCATACAATACTCGTTTTGTAAAGCCATATTTGTGTTTTGATGTATATCAGAGTGGTTTGATGTATACCCCTTGTACAGAATCTCAATGTACAGGGAAACCTTATGTCTTTCATTCTCACTAATAGGTGGTAAAAACTTATCACCTACAATAGGAAAATAACCCTCACTGTCAACAACAAAAACAAGCTACATCCCACATTTCACCAACAAATTCGGCCCAGACCACTTCATTAGGCCTCATTTGTTTACAGCGCAATTTTATCTGTACTGATACAAAAGTATAAGAGTGCAAATGAGTTAAGTTCAAATTTTGGTTTAATTTTGTTACATGTTTTAATTTGTTCTGTTTGTTTGCAGATTAAAGCAAGTAAAATGGAACCTGAAACAAAATAATATAAAATTCAAATCAAAAGTGAACCAAAATCTGCAATTTACTCATTTGCACTCCCTTGCACTTGTACTAGTGCAAATGAAATTGCACTAAAAACAAACAGAGCACTAAGAATATATGTATAAAACTAATAAAATTAAATAAAAGGATTGAAAGCAGCTCCAGATAATCTACTTTACTGATTTACACCTCTCATTCTCATAACTAGTGAAAATACAATATTCATGTTCCTATACTGTTTGAACCCCTTAAAAGAAAACCATATGTAGCGACGAAAACTCCAACCCTTTAAAATAGAAGCCTGATTTTGTAGATGAGAGCCATCTGTGGCAGAACAAACCAAAAATTTAAGGAAGGTCAAAACAGGAAAAAGAAAGTGGAGAAAATACTTGATTATGACTGGAAGGGGAAACCGGTCAAGAAATTCCTTCGCCGAAGCATCATTCTGAACGCCTGTAGATTAATAAATAGATGAATGAAATAAAGTTCAGCCCTTCAATATCCAATAAAGCTAAACAAAGTTCATATAAATCAATACCGGGATAATACGCAAAATCTGAAGCGGCCTCCATCAACTGAGCTGTATCTTCAACCGCAAATTCCTCCATAGCTTGCTCGGAACAGGAGAGCTCAGTATGTCTGCGTGTCACAGAGAGAACGAGAGAGTATTCTTTTAGCGATGGAGAGAAATTACAGCAGCGGGTGTGGAATTATTGCATGCGCAAGGGACCACCGACTGAGTCGGTTAAATTACTTTGATGATGGGATCAATAGATCTGGAATGGGTGATCAATCCATCGGACGGTTATGGTATTCAATGTTGTTGATTCGTGGCTCGTGTGCGTTATTAGGGATGCCAACGCGTCGAATTCGGTACGGATTTGCCTCTATCCTCATCCGACTGTCCGTCGGTTTCACCCGAACTCCCGACCGACCCGACTAAATATAATGGTACTTTAGAACCCCCACCCCCGACCCGCAACTAAACCGTTTTGTCCACCGAATTTCGGATCAATGAATCAAATGGTGTAAAACTTGTTTTTGTGTGTTGTGTGAATCCACACCATGTAGGGGTGGAAAATGGGTGGGTTGACATTCATAATGACCCTCCAACCCATTCTCCACCCATATCTATTGATGTTAGTGGGTCATAACCCACGCTGACCCACTTCTACGAAAAACAAAAGAAATTATGAAACATTTAGAGAAATGATAAAATGCAAAGAAAATACAAAAATTACATGAAACATAAAAATTGGATAAATATAATATTGCAAGAAAAAACAACAAAGATTATAATAAAGCAAAAAAATGCAAATAAATAACAAAAATGCAAGAAACCAAATATAAAAAAAAATGTAGGAAAATTACAAAAATGTATAGATTTTTTTGAATTTTTTAATGCAAGAAAACAAAATGTAAAAATGTAGAAATTTTTTGATAGAAGTTCACATCATTTTTTAATTAATAGGAATTTTCAAAAATAATTTTTGAGAAAATATATCTGATTCCATCTTCTTTACAGGCAATGAATATGTTTTGCGAAACCCATACCTGTCTTCACAGAGGAAGACGATGAACCAAATCTAGCGTGATCTCCTCCTTTATAGGCGGTGGATCTGTTTTTGCGAACCTTGATTTGTCTTCACAAAGGAAGACAATCTCTTCCTTTACAAACAGTGGATAGATCTGTTTTCACCTTATCTTCAATAGATGAAGATGATTAACACAAATCTAGGTTTGAACCAAATCTAGTGCAAATATGATATCAAACCCAACCTATGCCATGACAAAAAGAGAAGAGAGAGAGATACTATGCAAACCCAACCCCTTGGAAGAAGAAGAAGCAAAAAGAAGAAGAAGAAGAAGAAGAAGAAGAAGAAGGAAAGAAACACAGAGAGAGAGAGAAAGGATAAAATCACTGGTGGTTTTGATCGCCATCTATTGACAATGCAGTCGAGACTCCACCTAGCCTAACCCTTTTCCCTTAAGAGTTTCAATCCTCCCCTCGACCCAATTGACCCTAACCCTTTACAATCCAATGGGTATCCTTGACCCCAACCCCACCCTGACCCCAAGGTTCAAATATCATGTTGTATCGTATCGGGCGCTTTACGATACACCTATTTACAGGTGTTTCAAGAACCAACATCTATTTAATGCAAAATATAATTAAAAATAGGCTCAAAACCAAATTTTGAAAAAAAATTAAAAATTTAAAAATCTGCCATTTTTTAATACGCCCCTGCCGATGCATAGGGGCATCTTGATATATTTTGAACCTTGCTTGACCCTCTTCCCCTGGCCCAAATGGATGACTCGACCCATAATGATCCACATCTTAAATGGGTGGATTTATAAGCAGATGGTTCAAATGGGTTGGGGTCAACATTGCCACCCCTAACCACACAACAACAGAATAATTGTTTTGCATTCGACAAAATGGGCCATGTGAATCATACCACACTCTATAGGCATTCTAACAAGTATGGCGTAGTTCAGTCCATATTATGTGTTTTGATTTCATGTATCTTACATACAATATGTGAGATGATTTACGCTATTGATGAATAATAAAATGGTAATAATAACTATAAAACATTAAAAATCTTAATTTTAAAGCTAATTAATAAAAACTAATGTAATAGAAAATGATAAAAAGTTATATAATTTTAATAAAAATTAATGATAATATAAATAATATTAATTTTTTATAAGATAAATAATTAATAAAAAGCAATGTCATATTAATAAAAAATATAAAAATAAAGTTTTGATTTTAAAACTAATTAATAAAAAATAAACATTAGAAAATTATATAAATTTTAAAGAATAAAGTAATAGAACATATATAAAAATTAAAAGTCATAATTTTAAAACTAATAAATAAAAAAAGTAACAAAAGATTATATAAACTTATGTAAAACTAATTGACTATAATTCAAAACATATAACAAAATAGGGTAAATGAGAAGCATAGAATCAACATTCTATTTTTCACCACCATTGCAAGGTCCAATCCACAAGCAACAGCCCCCCACCCTTCAGACACATGGCATTTTAAAATTTCAATAGATAGAATCTTAGAAGAGGTTAAACTCCCACTCTTAAAAAAGGTCTATCCACTCACAAAAAAAAAAAAAAGTGACAACTCCACTCTCTTAAAATTCACACATGCAGCATCCTAATCTCTAAAAAGGGGTCACTTCAAATGTTATAGTAGTAATTGAATTTTATTCAAACACAACCATTTCGGAAGTAACGACTAAACAATTAATTTAACTTAAAATATTCAAAATATTAAATGGATAAAATAAAAATAAATGAACAATTAATACAACTAGTATGAGTTTTATTATTTTAGATGAAATAGTTCATTAATTGCAAACTAGATTTAACTTTTTTGGAAGCATAACCTAATTTACCTTTTAAAAATAAATTTATCAAGTAAATAGTAAATATCAAAAAGACAACATTTAATCTCTTAAATCATATTAAAAACAACATAAATTAATAGTGATGTTCAAACAGAGTAGGTCAGAATAGATTGTTAATTACAAAGATGTAAGACCCATGTTAATTTTTCTAATTTAATTTTTTATAGTTAAATAGTAAATATCAAATTAAATGATACTATAGTTGCCCCTTAGTATGGGGTCATTCTCTATATAAAATATGATAAGTCTATTAAATCAAATAAAAATCCTAACCTAAATGCCTAATATAAATAATTTAAAATTTTGAAATAATTCAGATTAACGGTCCCATACATTCCTAGTTTTAAAAATAAAAATTGGTCCAAAAATCCTTGTCCGGGTTGAACAGGTCGATAATTCAATTGCTTGCTTTTGGGGGTTGAAACGGACGGTACTATGACTGCTTTTTCATGCCAAATTGTCCAACCTTCCAAATGAATGACAGTTTTAAAACCTTAGTATTAACCATATACCATATATAGTATTTGGATTAAATTTTTATGAATAGTACAAAACCGAAGACAAGTATTCACTTTATTATATAGAAGTTTGTCAAAAAATGACAAGATGCATCGAGTATATTTACTAGTGAAATCAAAGCTGTATTGATGGTGAAGGAATGGCAGTATTGGATGAAAATATGATTTTACTATGAAAGCTTTTCTTTTTTGTAGCTTGGTGTTGGGTTATGTATCCTTATGGTTTCCTTGTTTATGCTCTAGTGTTCCACTATGGTGTCTTATTTAGATGCTTTGTTCTTGAATAGTGCAAAGAAAGCATAAAAGTGACTCCAAAGAGTGAACATCGAGAAAATTCTACTTTTGTTTTGGGAAAAAAGAAAAACGAAAGAAGTGACCCTTATGAAATAGCTCAAAATAAGAAGATTGGCCGACCAGTTCTCCCCAGTCATACCAAAGAGTTTAATGAGATGTTTAATGATATGAGTGGTAGTTAGTTTACATGGAAGAACAACTATACACATGAACGGTTGGATTGGGTTCTCTGTAACTCAAGATGGAGGTGTGATTTTAATGAATGCAAGCTATTAAACCTCCCTTATTTACCATCGGATCACACCCCTCTCTTACTTGATACTAAGGCCCCTATGTTTGCTGGTCCAAAACCATTTAGGTTTGAGGCCATGTGGTGTTTTGGTCCAAGTTGTGGTATTATGGAAAAGTTATTGGAGGTGCAATGGAGGATCAATGAGAAACCAAATGATAGAGTTCTGATTAATCATGAGATCGCCCTCCAAAAAATGTTAGATAATATCCTCAGAAAGGAAGAAGTGTTTTGGGCCCAAAAATCAAGAATTGAGTGGTTGGGTCTTGGGGATAGAAATAATACTTTCTTGCACACACTGTGGCAACTATCTATAGAAATAAAAATAAAATTTCCAGAATTAAAGATGATAATGGGGATTGGATTATGGATTACAATGACTTAAAATACCACTTTTATAAGAAATATGAAGAAAGATTTAAATCAGTGGGAGTCTGGGAGGAAGATTTCTTTGTTAAGGAAATTGACCAATGTGTTACTGATAATACTATGAATGATGGGCTCATTTTGGAGGTTACTAACGAAGAGATGTACAATACCCTCCTCTCTATAAAGGACATGAAAGCCCTAGGGCCCAATGGGCTTAATGCTCTATTTATCAAGAAATATTGGAAAGAAATTGGGGAATCTGTTTGTAGTAAAGTTAAAGCTTTTTTCATTCGGGAAAAATGAATAAATTTCTCAATAGGACTTTTATCAATTTGATTCCTAAAATTAACAGTCATGAGAATGTAAATCATTATAGACCCATAAGCTTATGCAATGTCATCTATAAGATCATATCAAAAATATTAGTTAATAGACTTAAGCCATTCCTGGATTCTATTATTTCCTCGTATCAAATTGCCTTTGTTCCTAATAGGCAGATTATTGACAATATCCTCATAGCTCACGAAATGATCCATACTATGACAAAGAAAAAAAGTAAATCGGCTAGAATGGGACTTCATCTAGAAAGTTCTCATCAAATTTGGATTCCACGGGATTTGGGTTGGGTGGGTTATGGAATACATTAGATTTGTTTCTTTTCAACTCCTTATCACTGGATTTCCACCCAACCAACCCAAGCTTCCAAAGGGATCAGACAGGGAGATCCTCTATCTCCTTATATTTTTGTGCTATGTGTGGAGGTTCTCACCAAAAAATTTGAGAAAGAAGTTAGAGAAGGGGAAAAACTCATTGGATGTACACTTTCTAGGGATGGGCCTAAAATTCTTATCCTATAGTTTGTTGATGACTGCATCATTTTTGCTAAGACCTCAATTAATTCCTGACTAAAAACCAAAGAAATTTTGGATAAGTTTGCTATATACACTCGTCAAGCCCCAAATTATGCCAAATCGGTAATTAACTTCTCAAGGAGGATTATGTATAGAATTCTTAAAATTACTCCTGATTCAAAAAGCAAAAAAAAAAAAAATTGGGAGCCCTAGTTATTGAGGGAAGAGTAATAAAAGGGTTATTTAAATTTATTAGAGAAAAGATGGAGAAAAGACTAGTTGGGTGGAAAAGAAACTCCCTCTCTCTTATGGGTAAGATTACCCTTGTCAACTCAACTGCCTATATGATTCCCCAATATGTCATGGGATCCTTCAAAATCCCCAAACAATGCTATAGATGATTTGGAAAAAAATGCAAAGAAACTTTATATGGTCAAAGGCAAATGACAAAAAAACCCTCCATCTTGTTAATTGGAGGAGGATGTGCATTAAAAATCTCAAATGGGCTAATAGAGCTCTCTTAGGTAACCTTGGATGGAAGATCCTAAATAATTGTGAAAATCTTTGGGTTAAAGTAGTTTCTAGTAAATATTTGAAGAATAACACTTCTCTATGAAGGCTTCCCCGAAAAAGGGTGTTTCATGGGCTGAGAGGGGGATCTTTTTCAACCCTTGATCTAATAAAGAGGGGCATGGGGTGGAATGTAGGCAATGGCAAGAAAATTAAATTTTGGTCCGACACTTGGGCAGGAAATGACCCTCTAAGTGATGAAGTTAATCATGATGGTATTGATGACATGGGCTTGATTGTAAGCAATGTAATTGATCAAGATAGAAAAGTACGAAGAGAAGAGATTATTAGATCCCTAGTCCATAACCGGGTGTGGAATACTATAAAGCCTATCTTAATTCCCTCAAACCACATGGAAGATCAACTTGCTTGGAAACTCACTCCAACAGGCAAATTCTCTTTCAACTCCACCTACACGGAGGAGAGTAAAGCCAATGGGGTTAATGGGGCGACTGATAACCAGTCAAGGAAAATATGGAAGCTTAACCTCCCCCATAAACTGAAGGTTTTCTTGTTCTTAGTTCTTAATGGTAAACTCCCTACAAAAGCAAGCTTATTAGTAGAGGTTTTAATATAGATATTGAATGCTGTCAGTGTGGGGAAGAGGAAAATTTAGATCACTTGTTTATTAGTTGCACTTATGCCAAGCAAGTGTGGGAGTTAATGGGAATTGTTCCTAGTGGGCCTAATGGAATTGTTTTGACTATTCGAGAATGGTGGAATCAACTTGTGATGACTCAAAGTGCAAGTCAGGAATATGTGATTAGAGAAATGATTGTTATTTTATTTTCGTTCATTTGGAAAAGCCAAAAGTGACAAGTTCTTCAACAGTAAGACTACTAGCCCCCCATTTCTTATTGTGAAAGCTAAAATGTATGAAGAGGAAATCAAATGTTGTGCCATGGTAGAAGAGGGTGTTAAAACTTGTAAAATTTGGTCCCATTTCTTGAGAAAGCCGTAAAGAAGGGTCGATCAAAATTAATTTTGACGCTTCATGTAATCAAGATGGTCTCTGTGCTACTGCTTGCATTGCATGGGATCACCAAGGCAAGACTCTCAACCTTAAAGCTTACGGTATCGGTTTCTCAACTATCAACTATCGGAGGCCTAGGCAGCATGGGAAGCTATCAACTTCAGAGATTGTCTAATCTTGTTGGAGGGTGATTCAAAGCTTGTCATCGACTGCTTGAAGTTGAAGCAGGTGGTGGACCCCCTGTGGAGAATAAGGAATATTATTGTGGTGGAGCTGGAAAGCCGCTTGCACGGAGCGCACCGAGATGTCCACAACACCTTGCAATAGTCACAAGCTAGCTCCTCCCAAAGAAGCCTTCAAGGCATGATGGACAGTTTCCAAGCTCAATTGAATGAGATGAGGGCTGAGCTGACAATCATGAAAAGAGCCATGGCTAATTCCATCAGCCCTTCATCTGCTCCATCCACCCACATCAAGGTGCGCCAACCAACTCCATACTCAGTTGCTCGGGAGCTTGAAAATTTCTTGTGGCAACTTGATCAGTACTTCTCCGCGACTGGCATCCACAATGACCAAACTCAGGTACACACGACCGCAATGTATTTAAATGATATTGCAATGTTATGGTGGCGTAGATGTTGCCGGGACATTGAACGTGGCACTTGGACCCTCAACACCTGGGCTGGTTTCAAGAGAGATCAAGCGACAATTCTACCCCAAAAATGTTGAGTACTTGGCACGAAGAAAGCTGAAGAACTTGAAGCACCAAGACTCATTGCACGACTATGTCCAAGAGTTCTCAACCCTGACCCTTGAGATCTTTGACATGTCCGACAAGGACCTTTTATTCAACTTCATGGATGGTCTCAAACCATGGGTGGAGCTCGAACTACAACGGCGTGGGGTGAAGGACTTAGCAACAGCCATGGTAGTGGTTGAGCAACTAGTCGATTTAAGGAAGTCAGAGGAAGAAGACCAAAAGCTATCCAGCCCACGTACCATGAGTTTGAGTGGGGGAGATAAAAAATCAACTTCTACACAGGAGAAACCAGTGCCCGTTGACAAACCTAACGATTACCAACAAGGGAAGAAGCCACAAGGAGCCCAAAGCTATCAGGGCCACCGGTACACTAGGAGACCCACTACTCTTTCAGCACCTTGTTACATTTACAATGGAAAGCATTGGACAAGTGACTGTCCAACACGAAAGAAAATCAATGCCCTCATTGCCAAACTCAGTGACAGTGAAGAGAGTGATGAAGAAAAACCCATAGCAGCACCAAGAGTAGGCACCCTTCAACTCATCAATGCCATGGTTAAGAAAGATGCCACATCCAAGCGACCCACCAAAGCCCATAAAGGGTTGAAATATATAGACATCACCCTCGGCGGGAGGCCAACCCAAGCCTTGGTGGACACTAGGGCCACCCACAACTTCATCTAGCATTG